ACAAACAAACAAACAAACAAACAAACAAACAAATACAAGCACAAACAAGCACACACACAAACAAACAAACTCAAACAAACAAATACAAGCACAAACACACAAACAAACACACAAACAAACAAGCAAACTCAAACAAACAAATACAAGCACACACACACAAACAAACTCAAACAAACAAATACAAGCACAAACACAAAAACAAGCACACACACAAACAAACAAACAAACTCAAACAAACAAATACAAGCACACACACAAACAAACTTAAACAAATACAAGCACAAACACACAAACAAACCTTAAACAAACAAATACAAGCACAAACACACAAACAAGCACACACACAAACAAACAAATAAACTCAAACAAACAAATACAAGCACACACACACAAACAAACTTAAACAAACAAATACAAGCACAAACACACAAACAAACAAACTCAAACAAACAAATACAAGCACACACACAAACAAACTTAAACAAACAAATACAAGCACAAACACACAAACAAACTTAAACAAACAAATACAAGCACAAACACACAAACAAGCACACACACAAACAAACAAACAAACAAACTCAAACAAACAAATAAAGCACAAACACACAAACAAATCTTAAACAAACAAATACAAGCACACAAACAAACAAGCAAACTTAAACAAAAAAATACAAGCACAAACACACAAACAAGCACACACACAAACAAACAAACAAACAAACAAACAAACAAACAAACAAACAAACAAACAAACAAACAAACAAACAAATACAAGCACAAACACACAAACAACCCTTAAACAAACAAATACAAACACACAAACAAACAAACTTAAACAAACAAATACAAGCACAAACACACAAACAAGCACACACAAACAAACAAACAAACTCAAACAAACAAATACAAGCACAAACGCACAAACAAACCCCAAACAAACAAATACAAGCACACAAACAAACAAACTTAAACAAACAAATACAAGCACAAACACACAAACAAACCTTAAACAAACAAATACAAGCACACACACACACACACACACAAACTCAAACACACAAACAAGCACACAAACAAAAACACAAACATCATTTGCTGCAATCTTTGTCAAACTGTAGTGCGTTTATTGATCTGCTGTCACTCTATGTGGATGAAGAAATACACAAAGGTGAAGAGGCTTTTAATGCTTGTAAGGCCTTTTGATCTTATGGAGAAAAAGTGCTTTATTAATATTATTATTATTAGTAGTAGTAGTAGTATTAGTTAATGTATTTACAAACATCTTATTTTTACATCTTAACATTAAATCTGAACATTATTAGTAGGTAATAATATAATATTAACATTATTAGTTAGTATTTACTAACATGAACTAATAATGAACAATAGTTGTTAGCGTACTGATTTTTCCGGTAGCCATTTTAGTAACTGTTGAAATGTCCGCCATTGTTCTTATTTCTACAGTGTATTGTGAATATCATGGTAACTCAGGGTTAAGCGTGGGCCAGGATCTGCTTTGTTCAACTACAAAATGTCTTTAATGAACATTTCCATATTTGTGCGCCGTCCTCCTTCACTGTCCGCCGATTTCTGCTGCTTTTCACGGAGCAACAAAGCATGTGGAGCGGTGAAGATGTTATCTGTAGCGCTGCTATCTCTCGCTCTTATGCTCATCTGACGAGATCTGGCTATCGGAGAGCTATTGTGAACACGTCATTGTGTTTATTAGAATCTGGAGATGGAGAGTGCTTCATTACAGGCTGGTCAAAGGGAGGGTAAACAAAAGGAGAGTGTTTTTGTGTTTCACGCGCACACGCGCACACACACACACACACACACACACACACACACACACACACACACACACACACACACACACGTTTGTATTGTGAAAAGTGGGGACATTACATACGTTTCCATTCATATACTGTCAAAACCATATATTGTATTGCCCTTACCCCACCCCACCCCTAAACCCAACCATCACAGGAGTCAGTGTGCAGCTTTACTCTCTGATTAAACTCATCCTGTAGGATTTATAAGCATTTTGAGAAATGAGGACGTCACCAATGTGCTCATATTTCTCCTCCTTTTTGTAATAACACGCTTCCACGACATTTAATAAAAGCTATGTTAAAGCTTTGTTTTCATGTTAGAATTCATTTTTGTCCTACTATCTGTGACAGCGGCGCTCAACATTTCTATTTTAGAAACTATTTCTGCGATGTCGCGGCAGAACAACAGCATAAACTACTATGACGATGATCACCTCCGGTACTGATCATGTGCTGTACTTAAATGCTAATAATATGAGTTTGAAAACATTTGACAGCACTTTTAAGTGTTTTGAATTCACGCAATAGGTTTGCTTATTTATGACTCGTGTTTTGAATTACCAATGGAATTTTTGTATTTATGAATTGCATTTTGAACTTACGAATGAGCTTTGCATGTTTATGAATTGTGTTCTGATTTTATGAATTAGATTAGCATATTT